GTGAACAGTCATGATCCTGACTGGGACCTTGTGTTAGTAACAGTTTAAATCAATAGTTTATTTGTCACTTTTTAGTTATGTTGGTCGTAAAGAGCTGAGTCCTAATCTTGAGAGTATTATTCCAGGAACAAAGAACCTTGTAATACCTCGGTACTCATATTGGATGTTAGGTTATATAATATCAAATAGAGGAGCTGAGAAACTGATAGCTGGGAGACCTTTTGATAATATACTACCAGTTGATGAGTACATACCAATAATGTATAATGACCATCCTGAGTAAGTATTGTCCATTTTTTAAATAGTGAAGCTTAATTATGTGATTATCTTCAAATTTTTCATGACAATGGCTTTTGCTGAAAATTGGGTCTGAAATCAATCCCAATTTTTATGACATATTCTAGCTAATGCATATTGATGTCCTTATGCTATGAGCTGATATTGATGAGAAATGGCCATTTAAAAAAATGAGCCACTTTTGAAAAATACCTAAGACTATATAGCCCTGGTTTTTTCTAAAAAATGACTCAGAAATCATCTGCAATTTTTATTACATTTTAAGATACATATTGATGTCCTTATGCTGTGTAGAAAGTTTGAGCTGATTCTGATTAAAATTTTTAAAGTTATTAGCTAAAATGAGAAAAAGCATGGAATATAGCCCATGGAGACATTATGTTCCAATTAAAACTTCCAATGCTTCAAGTGAGACACTATTGAATTATATTAATATGTTATTACAGGAGTGATTGGGTCCATTATTATGAGAACACTACTAGAGATTTACGTGTCTATTCTACCTATCCATTGCTAGTCTATCCAACTCATTTTGCTGGTGATAAAGGATGGTACAGTGACACAGGTCAGGACAATACATTACTAGTATATACTATGGTATAACACAATAGTGGATATGATAAATTTTATTTTTATTTTCAGAGCCACCAATTGAGGTACTACAGGAGATACATAAAAGAAAGTTAAAAGAAGAAGAGGAGGAAGCAGCAAAGAAGGAAAAAGAGAAAGAAAAGGAAAAGACAGAACTGTAATGAACTACAATTATTAGGTGAAATGTACATACATGTATTCAAATGGCATACTATTATTATTGATATTATTATTATTTTCAAGATTAACAAGACATCATTTAAAATAGCAATGCATGTAGATTATAATACCTCTAATAAGGTCACAGCTAGATAGTCTCTCTTATGTATGGAGACTCCATTTGCATCTGGTAATGTGAGACTGATCACATGATTGACTGTTCATGAAACAGTTACCTTGTCTAGTTACCTAAGCAAGGCAAAAATAAGCAATTAGCAACCCATTTGTATATGTCCATTGAGATCATGTGGTGAGCCTAAGCTATCAAAGCAATGTACAAGTCTAGATACAGTAGATCTTAATGTACTAATGTATGGTTGTGTCTTTAGTGTATAGTTTATGCTAGCTAGTATGGCTGGTTCACTGTGTTACTAGAGAAAAACCACATTACCTCAAGCCTGACTTGACCCTCAAACACTGATCATTAATAACACAGCATGCAATACAGACTCAGATTATAAATATTTATGAGTTTTGTGATGTCCCTGCATGTCTATCTGAACATGACTGCACTGAGTGCATTAATTCAGTTTTCTTCATTATTCTATGCATCTGTAATGATCTGTCTTTATTTGTTGATGTTATTCATGGCTAGATTATATAGTCTACCTAGTACCAAGAGTACAAAATATTATGCACCCTTGCTAGTACAATGCTTAAAATTATCAACTTTTATTTTTTTATATCAGCAATTCAGTTTAATTGTATATGACTAAGCTTACTTATTGTAGTAAAAAACAATGCAGAATGTTAATATAAACTGATCTAATAGACCTACTGTATCATCAATGTGATTATAGTTGATAGTATAGATCAGATACCATCTGTGGGTTTACTTATTATAACAGAGAAAGAAGGAGGACTAGATCATGGATGACAGGAAGTAACCTGAAAAGCTGATGCCTAGATCTGTCAATTCTGAAGTGGACTAAATCAACTCATGGTATAAATTATTATTATTTTGATTTGAGTTCTGCTTTTGATTTGCAGGAAAAGGTAATAGATCTAGTCCTAAAAATAATATTGAGTCTCATACTTGTTCATTTTTATTACTTATGATACTGAAAGCACAAACTTTACTTTACAACACAATAGGAAGTAAGTACTAATCTATTTCATCATTGTTTGCACGTTTATCTATTGTCCTTTCTATCTTAATTTCCTTTGTTCATCTGTGATATGCAAACTCTTCTTTACAACACAATAGATAGTAAGTACTAATCTATTTCAATTTGAGATTAACATGTTTATATGTGTATCTATTGTTTTTCTATGAATTTCCTTTGTTCGTCTGTGATACACAAACTCTTCTTTACAACACAATAGATAGTAAGTACTAATCTATTTCAATTTGAGATTAACATGTTTATATGTGTATCTATTGTTTTTTCTATGAATTTCCTTTGTTCGTCTGTGATACACAAACTCTTCTTTACAACACAATAGGCAGTAAGTACTAATCTTATTTAATTTGAGATGATAGATTACATGTGTATCTATTGTCCTTTCTATATTTAATTTCCTTTGTTCATCTGTGATACACAAACTCTTCTTTACAACACAATAGGCAGTAAGTACTAGTCTATTTTAATTTGAGATGATTGCTTACATGTGTATCTATTGTCCTTTCTATCTTTAATTTCCTTCATTCATCTGTGATACACAAACTCTTCTTTATAACACAATAGGCTGTAAGTACTAATCTATTTTAATTTGATACGATTATGTACATTTGTATCTATTGTCCTTTCTATCTTTAATTTCCTTTCTTCATCTATGATACACAAACTCTACTTTATGACACAATAGAAAGTAAGTACTAATCTATTTTAATTTGAGATGAGTTTTTACATGTGTATCAATTGTCCTTTCTATCTTTAATTTCCTTTGTTCATCTGTGATACACAAACTCTACTTTACAACACAATAGACAGTAAGTACTAATCTATTTTAATAAGATATGGTTTATTATAGTAAGTATTGTCCTTTTTTTTTATTTTCTTTGTTTCATTTGTGATACACAAACTCTTTTTTGCAACGCATACATGTAGGTAGTAAGTACTACTCTATTTTAATTTGAGATGATTTTTTACATGTGTATTTATTGTCCATTCTACCTTTAATTTTCTTCATTCATGTGTGATACACAAATACTTCTTTACAACACAATAGCGAGTAAGTACTAATTAATTTAATTTAAGATGATTGTTTACATGTGTATTTATTGTCCTTTCTATCATTAATTTCCTTCATTCATATGTGATACACATACTTCTTTACAATACAATAGAGAGTAAGTACTAATCTATTTTAATTTGAGATGATTGCTTACATGTGTATCTATTGTTCTTTCTATCTTTAATTTCCTTCATTTATATGTGATACACAAACTCTTCTTTACAACACAATAGATAGTAAGTACTAATCTATTTTAATTTGAGATGATTGCTTACATGTGTATCTATTGTTCTTTCTATCTTTAATTTCCTTTGTTCATCTGTGATACACAAACTCTTCTTTACAACACAATAGAAAGTTGGTACTAATTTAATTTGAGATGATTGCTTGCATGTGTATTTATTGTCTTTTTTATCTTTAATTTCCTTTGTTCATCTGTGATATACAAACTCTTCTTTACAACACAATAGAAAGTTAGTACTAATCTATTTTAATTTGAAATGATTGTGTGCATGTGTATTTATTGTCCTTTTTATTTTTAATTTCCTTCATTCATCTGTGATATACAAACTCTTCTTTACAACACAATAGGAAGTAAGTACTAATTTATTTTAAATTGAGATGATTGTTTGCATGTGTATTTATTGCCCTCTGTGATATACAAACTCTTCTTTACAACACAGTATGTAAGTACTATAATTTATTTTTAAATGAGATGATTGTTTACATGTGTATCTATTGTCCTTTCTATCTTTAATTTCCTTGGTTCACCTGTGATACACAAACTCTTTTTTTACAACACAATAGGAAGTAAGTACTAATTTATTTTAAATTGAGATGATTGTTTGCACATGTATCTTTTGTCCTTTCTCTTTTTAATTTCCTTCGTTTATCTGTGATGCACATGCAAATTCCTTTTTGCAACACAATAGAAAGTAAGTACTTATCTATTTTAATTTGAGATAATTATATCTGCATGTATTGTCCTTTATTTCCTTTGTTCATCTATGATATACAAACTCTTCTTTACAACACAATAGCCAGTAAGTACTAGTCTATTTTAAATTGAGATGATTTTTTACATGTGTATCTATTGTCCTTTTTATCTTTAATTTCCTTTGTTCATTTGTGATACACAAACTCTTCTTTACAACACAGCATGTAAGTACTATAATTTATTTTTAAGTGAGATGATTGCTTGCATGTGTATCTTTTGTCCTTTCTATTTTTAATTTCCTTTGTTCATCTGTGATACATATACAAATTCTTCTTTACAACACAATAGAAAGTAAGTACTTATCTATTTTAAATTGAGATGATTGTTTACATGTGTATCTATTGTCCTTTCTATCTTTAATTTCCTTTGTTCATTTGTGATACACAAACTCTTTTTTACAACACAATAGGAAGTAAGTTATAATCTATTTTCAAGTGAGATGATTGTTTGCATGTATATTTATTGCCCTCTGTGATACACAAACTCTTCTTTACAACACAGCATGTAAGTACTATAATTTATTTTTAAGTGAGATGATTGCTTGCATGTGAATCTATTGTTCTTTTTATCTTTAATTTCCTTTGTTCATCTGTGATACACAAACTCTTCTTTACAACACAATAGGAAGTAAGTACTAATCTATTTTAATTTGAGATAGTTGTATCTACATGTATTATCTTTTCTATCTTTGATTCCCTTTGTTCATCTGTTGTACACAAACTCTTCTTTTCAACACAACAGAGAGTAAGTACTATTGTATTGTAAATTGAGATGATTGTTTACATGTGTATCTATTGTCCTTTCTATTTTTAATTTCATTCATTTATCTGTGATATGCAATAAAAGGAAGTAAGCATTTAGTTCTAAACAATTGTTTTTACTTTTTGTGTGTAATAGAGAAGTGAGTCTATTTCAGTAAATTTGTTAAGGTTCAGTTGTTTATATTCAAGATGCTGCATACAGAAGAGCTCTATCAGAAGGAGAGGTGGTGAATGTTGCTTATTCACGTGTTCTTTTTCTGGGTACAGCAGGTGTTGGGAAGAGTAGTTTCAAGAATTCTCTTATGAAGTTACCATGGGATCCTAAGGCTAACAGTACCATCATATCTGATGTCAGCTGTGTTCGTCCCTTTGCTAAGGGATTGCTTAGTGAGCAGTGGGAAGCACTTACTCATGAAGCTGAAATTGAAGCTATGGCACACTTGTTCTTTGCTGTCAGGAAAGCTGAAAAG